GCTCTAAAAAAATAATTGTTTTTTTAATTGTATATGTTTTTTCGAGATTCTGGACGCACATTCATATCATCAGTTACGCAAATTATTATGTGAAATAATTATTTTTTCACTTTAAAAAAATGACGATCAATTTTTACTACTATGAAGGTTACACCAAATTTTACTATAAAAATTCTATCTGTCACATGCGGATCGGCAATTAAAAATTAAAATAATATAATAAAATAAAATTTCAATATTAATATTCAATTCTGATTTTTAAACTATTACCTTTCAATATATTAGAATATCTAGATTATTATTTGATAGAAGTTCTTTTTAAATATGAACTTAATTTATCAGTATATATAATTTTTCTTTTTTTAAAAATATGAATAGATAAAACATTAAGTTTAAATATAAATTTATCTATTTTTTTGTTACCAATGGATTTATATTTCTCATTCCATAAATTAGTTATTTTTTATTTATAACTTTTAATATATCTATTATCAATATTATTTTCTTTATAATATGTTAATTTTAATTTAGAATCCAAAATTGTATAAATATAAATTAATTAATTAAAATTTTAATAAAAGTTATAAAATTGTAAAAAAAAAAATTATACTTATTACAATTATATAAACAAGTTCATCTGAATTTGAATAATAATCTTTTAATTTTTGTAAAACAAAATTAGTAACCTTATCAATATTAGAAGAATGATTATTTTTTTTTGAAATTTTATAATAGTTTCAAATAAATAATTATAGACAGGAATAGTTTAGTTAAGAGCTGGAAGTTTTACTGTACTCATTTCTAAAATCACAATTTTGAAATACTATTATAAAAATAAAATAATATTATAATTTAAGATATAATTTAAAATTATTATATTAAATAAATTATACCTCTGATAATTTTTTTATTTCTTCTAACTGATTCCATTCATTTTCTTGTAATAAATATAATGATAGATTTCAATCAGCAGATGTTGTATTATAAAAAGTTAATAAAAAACAAATTAATATTTATATAAAAATATAAATAGCTATAAAAATTTGATAAAATATTTTTACTTCTTAAAGAATTAATGCTCTTTTAATCATGTCATATATCAAGTTTCACCTTATTTTTACATCAGGAATTAATTAAAGATCTTTAATATTTAATACTTTATATTGTTAACTAAATTTATCACGTCACTATAAAGAAGTTTATATTTTAATTACTAATTTTCTTAATTTTACTATAATATCCAAAGAATTTTTATTAATAGAATCTAATAATACATCTTCTTTATTTTCTGAACTCATTTCTTTTAAAGATTTTAAAGTATCTTGTGTTACAAGATTAATTATATATGTCAAATATCAAACATAATGATTTTCAGATTTAAAATCAATGTCTTTATCTGAATAAAAAATATCTAAATAATTAAACATAGTATTCATATTACTAATATTATCAGTAGTAACAGCTAATATTTAAAAGTAATAAATTAAATAATAATAAATTAAAAATAAATAAATAAAATAATAAATAAATAAATAAAATAAATAAAATAAGTTAATTTTTGTTACAATATTGTATTCTTTAATTATATTAAAAAAAACATTAGTAATATTTTCTCTAGAATGTGAACCATTTGATTTGTTAAAATCAAGAATTACACTTTTTAATTTTCAATCTTTAAAAATTCAATGTGTGTTGATATCAAGAAATAATATTTGATTTTTGGAAGTCCATTTATCAAGGGTAAAAGAAATATATCCAGAAGTTTCTTGTAATTCATTTTTGATTTTTTTTGTTCATTTTTAAAAGATTTAAAAATACTATTTCATATAATATCACCAGTAGGTAATTTGATTTCAAAATTTAATTTTTTTATCATATTTTTGAAAAAATCATCTTTAACCATAGTAAAAGATTAGTCATCTGAAACAATTCATTGAACAAGATCATTTTGTCAAATTTCTTATAAAAAAATCTATTATTAATTTAAATATTAATTTAAATATTTAAAAAAATTTAAAAAAATAATATAATATTCTATATATCAAGGTTTTATCTGATATAACATATTTATTTATTACTTCAGAAGTTATAACTTTTCATAAGTTTTTATGATTATGATTAAGATGACTTCTTAAAGTTGAATAAATTTATCTTTAGAAACTTTATAATTTATTAAAATTAACAAAGAATATTAATATTATTAATTATTTTTTATATTTAAAATTATTTTTTTATATTTATCTATAATAATTACATTTATATTTATTTTCATTAGTAATTTATGTAAAATAGTCATAAACATATAATTTAAATTTTCTCTTAGAATTGATAGGATTTGAAAATTCAGTTATATTTTGACTTGTATTTTCATTTATATTTTTATCTGTATTCTCATTAGTATTTTCTTGATCATTTTCATTAGCTAAATCATCTTTTAGTTCATTTTCATTATCTAAATCTTTCTTTAGTTCAATCTCAAATTTTTCATATTCTTCAAATTCCATTAAGATATAAAAGAAAGAAAAGATAAAAATAAAATATAGTTTTTCTTATTATTCCTTATTACAATTTGTCAAATGATCAAAAAAAATATTTTAATAATAATATTTAATATATTTCTAAAATATAAATGTTTATAATAAGAATAATAATAATAATAATACTCACAATAATATATATTATACTTGCACGCAAAATTATTTTGGGGTTCCGAAATTACAATTTTGGAGAAAAAAGTCGAAATAGTTTTTCATAGAAGACGAAATTATTTTACTTAAAACCCGAAATTTTTTGACTACCCAGATTTATTCTTTGATTAAAGATACATATAACTAGGTACTTTTTTTACTTCTATATATAGAATAGATTTTGTATAAATCTCAAAAAGTCGAAATACCTCAAAAATCCAAAATCAATTTTGGGAACATGTATAATATATATAGATTTTTAATAATCAAATTTTAAATTTATTAATATTAATTTATTTTTTTATAATAAAATAATAACAGTTAACAGTAATAATAAAAAAATAGTAACAAAAAATAGTGTCAAAAAAATAATAACAAAAAATGGCAAAGTAAGATAAACAGATCAAAAAAATTAATTATCTTTTTTTTTCTTTTGTATTATGTTAACTAATTGATTTTTATTTTAGAATACTATGGTAATAATGGTGATAAAAATAAAAAAAACATGTTGCAAAAAAAAAGCAACAAAAAAAAAGTAACAAAAAAAAATAAAAAAAATAATTGAACCAAAAATGTTTTGATTCAGTTTTAGTTCTTCTGTTCAGTTCAAATAAAGAAAACAAAATTGAACTGAATGGGTAATTATCTGGTTTGAATTTTAATGAACCAAACTGGAATCAAAACTGGCTATTCGGATTCAGTTCAAACTGAATGGTTAGAAGCTTTATTTGTAACACTAATTTTCATAAAATTATTAGTATTTGAAGATAATTTATTAAAAATATCAATATTGATAATTTAAATAATTATTCAATTATAATTATAATCTTTTCACATGATTAGAGTTGTACTAGTCAATTAGAATTATACCAGAATTTGATTAGAATTTAGTCTTTGAGTCAGAATTTAGTTATTTAGTTCCATTTAACCATTAGTCAAGAAAAAATCAATTAGCCAGAAGTGCAATAATTGAATCAGACCTAATATTACTTTAGCTAACCATTCTTAGTAGAAATGCTTTATTTCATTTGATGTGAAAAATCTTTATAAGATAGATACTTACAGAAGATTTTTTAGAAACATTAATTTGGTATAATCTAAAGAAAATGTCATTTTTCAACAGGATAATGACTTTAAATATATTATTAAACTTATCAAAAAGTGATTTGATGAAAATGATATAAAGATACTTGAGTAGTCTACTCAATATTTAAATTTGAATTCCATTAAGCATTTTTGAAATGAAGTAGAGGAAATTTCTTGTAAAAGTTATAAAAAAGATCAATTATAGAAACAGATTCAAGATGTGTAGAATGATATTAATCTTGAGATTTGTACTAAGTTAATTAAGTTAATGTTACAAAGAATAAAAGATATGATAAAGACAAGAGGAGGGTATACAAGATGAAAATATATAGTAAACAATTAGAATATATATTTTTTTTATTATATTTATTTTATTTTTTTTTAGAAATTACAAAATTAAAAGTTATATATTTCTAGAATTTTATAATTAACTTACAATAAATTTTATATTGACATAAAGTATAAAACCAAGGTTATTTAATATGTAAATATAAATTTATTATTTTGAGATTTATATTTCTTGAGTTGTATTGATTTGAAAATTGGTTTTTTTTTTTTGCAATACTTTTGTGAGCCACTGTATAGATATACCTACTTGCAGTGTTGTCAAATTCACATGTTTCCAGCTTTTTTAATTATTTCTATGTTCCATTTTACAATATCTCTATTCTTAATTAGCTTATAAATAAATATTAAAACTTTATAAATAAATATAAAAATCGATCCTAAATAACTTTAATTAATAGCTCAAAGTAGGTTTTAATAATAAAGATTTGCGCTATTTACATTTAAAAAAAAATAATTTTTGTTTTACTGGCCACCTGTATTTAACCGGGTAAGAAAAAATTCTACCCAGTTATATGGCCTACCTGCAAGTCATCCGGGTAAAGTTCACTTTGAATGCTACGACCAACTAAATTTGAGTTGGCAATTAAAAATCATTTATAAAAAACCATGTTACCTCAACAAACATGTTCAGGAAAATCAAATGGAAATATTCAAAGTTTTCATATATCCTATTGGGAGAAGACTTGTTATCTTGTAGGTTTTAATATGCAAGTCTGTTTTTGGCAAACTTTTAATTAATTCTACTCGGACTTTTTAACAAATTTTCAATTAATTCTACTCGGATTTTCTTAACTTGAAAGAGTTATTGCTCAGGGGATAAAATTATAATATATAATGTAAATCCAGAAGAACACATACAAACTATTGGAATTTCTGAATTTTTGAGCAAAGACGAATCATGCGAATCTTTAGGAAATAAAATTAATTCGGTAGAGATGTCGGAAAATGATGGAAAGGTTAGTTTTCTTTGAGAATTATAGAATCGCGTTAAGTTTTAATTATGAAGTTTGTATATATATATATAAAAATAATAATGTAAAAATAGAAAATTTTTTTCATAAAATAATATAGATTGCAATTACCATTGGAATCAATGTACTTGTTTTCTACCCCCAAGTCAATAAAGAAATGGTATTTAATTTTGCCATTTTTGTAATACTTAAAAAATTAATAATAATTAATAAATGTTTATTATTTTGAAATGGAGGGTTTTTTTTCTTCTAAACTTGAATTCTTTGATCATTAGACTGTACAATGGAATTTAATGAAAATTCTGAAACATGATTATCCAGTATTTTGTACTTCTTGGGCAGCGGGTGAGTGTGTTGTGGGAAAAAGAAATAATCAAGCAATTTTAGCAATTTTTAGTAATTTTAGCAATTTTAACAATTTTAGTAATTTTATTCATTCGCTTAAAACCATTAAATTATTAAGGACCACTTTTGGTAGGAGGAGAAAGTCTTACACTATGGGAAAACATATCACCCAATTATGATATGATGAAATGTACAAAAATCTGGGAACAGAAGTTTGTCATTAATTATTAATTACTTTAATTATTTTAATTGTACTTCTGAGCGATAAATTTACATAATTTTTATTAGAGTTTCATCTAAATTAATTTTGGTCCAATTTTCTCCGGATTCTACTTTGTTTGCAACTATGGGAGAGGTAAACATTTTATTTGGTATATGAAATATTATTATTTAAATAAATGACTTTTGTTAATTTCATTACATCTTTTTTTTTTATCGTGGATTTCAGTGTGATCGATTACTAAAAATATGGTGGAATTCTTCTAATAATGAATCTAAAGAACGAAAATACAATTTTAATTATTTACCACATCCACGAGCCGTCACTAATTTTACGTGGCGAAAAGGCCCCCTTGAACAAAAGAAGTAAATTTTCCTTATTTCTTGTCTTTTTACGCGTATCGTGATTAATATTTCACATGAATCCATATGATTATTCAGTTCTACCGGTAGTAATATTATTTTAACCATGTGTAAAGATGGGGTGTGTAGAATCTGGACGGCAACTAATCCCGAAGAACCATATAACCTTTATATATCGACAGTCGTTGATCCTAGCCAATCATTGGTGACATTACAATCTTCGGAAGAGGAAGAGATTTGTTCACAGGATCCTGATTGTTTTACTCCAATACATTGGATTCATCCTAAAGAATTTTTAACATCTTTAAGAATTTCGATGGAAGCTTTTAATGGTGATGAAAATGATAAAGCAATAGTTATTGGTTCAGGATTAAGAAAATTGAGCAACCTTGCAAATGATACACCTGATTTGCTTTATCAAATTCAGAGAGATGGATCAATGGTTATTTGGGGAATACGTGTATGATGATGATAATTTATTATTATTTTTTTATTTTGAAAAAAGAAAATTATCGACGATATTATAATTATTGATATATATATATCTCTCTCTTTTATATATCTTTTTATATATAAATATAGAATATTTATTGTAGACCACGTCGTATTCCTAAAGTACTTGTATTATTACGTATTGCACAAGCAATTCCTATATCAGAAGTGGAATATTTTTTTGGAAATATGGCAACTTTCTATGATAATAATACTGATAACACTACTACTGATTACCTAAAATGTAAGATCACATTTTATTGTAATTTTGATGAATTTTTTTTTTTACGTTTAATAAATTTTTTATTTTAGAAAATCAAAAAAAATTGATCCCTTTATATTAATTAATTAAGCATCAGTAGAGCTGATGATTGTTGCACAAAGTCCTCATGGTCATATTAATAAATATTCTATTCGCCTTGTTGATGTGTTTGATAATTTACAATCAACAACCTCACTACAGTTAAAATATTCATGGACTGGTCATCATAGTAACATCAAATCAATTATTAAAGCACCTGGAGGAAATAATTTCATTTCTCTAGCAAAAGATGGGGAGACTATTTTGTGGAATATATTAACACCAGAATTACGGGTACTTATCACAACTCGCATAAATTATACATAAATAAATAATAGATTAATAATATATATGATTTTGTCATATGATTATATTTCTATTTTTATTTCAGCATGATAAACTAATTGGACCAAGTATTATTGAAAAGTCATCTGTTTTCATGAATTCAAGAATTAAGTATACGTGTGTATTTCTGAATGGTAAGGGGGATATTATTATTATTATTATTATTTCATTCTGTGATCAAAATAATTCAAATAATTCAAATAATTATTTTACATTTTTTTTTTTTTTTTTAAAAAAAAGGAAATTATTTAGCAGCTTACGATGGGACACAAATTGCAATATTTTCATATGAAAATAATAATTATTCACGTCAAATTGCAGTACTCGAAGATTACGATCCCTTTTTTGAATTAACATTATTATTCTCATTTCAAAATAAGATCGAAAATTTATTAACAACATTTATCGCAGGAGTTAGTTCACAAAAAAATATGATCTTTTTATGGAATATTATGGAAAATGAACGAGGATTTTCTCCTCAAATTAATTTTATTTCAAGATCTTCACTTCCGATGATGAATGAGAAGAAGAATAACGATGAAATTATAATGGCTATCGCAGTTGAGCAATGGGCAGGAATTAATGCAAGAAATTATCCATCCTCAGATTTTAATCATCCAGTTCTTTTGACATTTTCCTCTAATGATGGATATATTAGATATTGGCAATGTATAATAACGAATAAGAAAATTAAATCATTTACAAAAATTTGGATGGAAGAAGTAAAATTTTATATAGGTGAAGAAATACCAAAACTGATCAAATGTGGACCACAAGGAAAAGTTGCTGTTGGTAATATTAATTTGTATTTTTATTACAATTATTAAATTAATTATTATTATTATAATTAATTACAATTATTATTTTATAATTAATTATTACAATTATTTCTTTTATATTAAAATTTTTCTCTAGTTCTCAAAACTTCTGTTGGATATGAAATGACAATTTGGGAATGTATCACTAAGAGACTTCCCCCCGCCAAAGATTTTATCACTACATTTAGGTATATTTAAATTATTTTTTCTTTTATTGGGAATTATTTACTCAAAAAATCTCATTTAATTTCATTTTTTCTTTTGATTATAGTGAAGAAATAATCGATATTGATTGGTTATTCACATCCAATGCTGAACTTGTATTAGCTGTATCAACATCACGGAAAATATTAATATACACGCAACTTCGTAAACATTATGTTTCTAAAGGTGCAAAATGGATTTTATTTTCGGAAATTTCTATGCCAGAGTAAGAAATATAAGAAGTTATAATAAATAATAATAATAATAAAATCAATAATAATAATATTATTATTTCCTTTTTTTTCAGTAACGTGCCATTGTCAATTTCTGGTGTATCATGGGGAAACGAAGGTTCACTTATTGTAGCTTCAGGAAATCAATTAAGATGTTATAGTAAACGGTTAAGTGATGAAAGTGCAAATAAAGGTGAGAATAATTTATTTAAAGAATTTTATTTTATTTTTTATTTTATTTCATTTTATTGCATTTTATTAATTTTATTTTATTAGTATCACAAATAACTGGAATAAATAAATCATTTCCAACTTTATTTCATGTTGTTGACCACTTAAATGGGCCATTACCACATCATCATCCAACCTTATTATTGCAACACATTTTATGGGGTAAATTATGTTAAAATTAATTATAATTTGTAATTTATTATTATTATTATAATTATTATTATTATTATTATAATTATTATTATTTATTAATAATAAATTATATATATTATTTATTAATTTAGGCAAAATGGATTTGGTTAAACAGATACTTGTCCATCTTTATAGATGTTTAAAAGTTCTAATCAATTATGATAAACCAGTATTGAAAATTCTTCCTTTACCTTTTGATAAATTATTAGAAGATGAAGCGGTAATTTATTATTATTATTTGATGATGATTATGATTATTATTATTATTGATTATTAATATTATTATTGATTATTTTTTGAATCTTTGAAGTCAACAATATCAACAAATTCCACTCGTTATAGCCTTCTTTTTGGAGAAGAAAGTGATGATGAAAGGTTTGTATCTCATTTATTTCATTGATTTATGATCATAATGATTGACAAATTTATTCAATATGACGATTTAATTTTTTTTAATGTTAGGTCACATGAAACTGTACTAAATTTTACAGAAGATGTAGCAGATTTCCTTAGTGAACAATTAAAAATTATTTCTTTACCTGATTTATCACCCGTTGAACAAGCACAATTACTTGCTTTAATTGATACAATAATTCAAGTGAGTTATTAATCACTATTATTACTATTATTACTATTATTGCTATTATTACAATTATTACTATTATTACAACACTAGGATAAAATTAAAAAATATTATTGCTTAAAAAAAATTAGGTGGAAGGTCAAAAAAGGAGTTTGGATGAAAATGGTGTACGATATGTATTATTTATGAGAAGATTTCATTATTTGAATCGAGTTACATTACCGACAACTCTACGATCTCCTGGATTAAGTTATCGTGATATGAATTGGGCTTTACATAGTGATTCTCAAGTATTTATTATTACTATTAATGTTATTAATGTTATTAATGACAAAATTATAAATATAAAAATTTTTATGTTTGTTATTATTTTTATAACTTAACCTTTGTTATCTATTTCAGGATTTATTAATAGAATATAGTATGGCTGCCTCAGGTGGAAAATTTTTATGGAAAGATGCCAGAGTTCATGGAATTTTTTTGTGGATTCGAAGTAATGAAATTGTGGTATGTTATTTCTGTCTTTCTTTAAATTATCCTAAATTTTAATTCTATTAATTCTATTAAATTTAATGAAAAAAAAAATAGCGACAACAAATGGAAATTTTAGCACGTAATCATTATATGTCAAAAGATGAAAGAGATCCTACGGATTGTTCATTGTTCTATATGGCACTTAGAAAAAGAAAACTTTTGTCAGGATTATGGAAAACAGCAAATCATCATAAAGAACAATCTATAATGTTAAAATTTTTAGCAAATGATTTCAATGAACCAAGATGGAAAACTTGTGCTTTAAAAAATGCATATGCATTATTAGGGAAACAAAGATTTGGTAAATTTTTACATAATTATTTATATTCATGAATAAATATAATAATATAATAGTAATAATATAATAATAATATAATAATAATAATATAATAATAATAATAATAATAATAATAATATATTAATATATAATATAATATAATATAATAATATGTTTATAGAATATGCGGCTGCTTTCTTTCTTCTTGGTGATAGATTAAAAGATGCCGTAAATGTATGTTTGAAACATTTAAATGATTTTCAATTGGCTGTTGCCATATGTCGAGTTTATGAAGGTATTATAAATATTCCTTTCATATTTATCATATTCTTTATTTTCATTATTTTCATTTCCTATTTCACGTGCGTTTATATATATTTTTGTAATTTTAAAGGTGATGACGGAATTATTTTGAAGAGTGTATTTGAAGAATATATTATTCCTTTAGCCATTTCAACGGGAGATCGATGGTTGGCTAGTTTAGCTTTTTGGTTTCTAGGTCAAAGAGATCGAGCTGTCAAAGCTATAATGGTTAAATTTTAATTTCTTAATTTTATTATTATATATATAATATAATATATATATATATATATATTTATTTATTTATTTATTTTATCTTACACCTTGAATTATATTTTGAATTATAAATTTTATAGGCACCTTTAGAAACTCTAAGAACTCTAAGTAATAATTCTTCTTCAACACAATCTTCCACATCAATTTCTTCACCATCATCATTAATACCTACGGAATCACCCGACGCAGCACTTATAGTTCTTTACAAACAACTTAAAGAAAAATCTATACAAACTCTTCGTGGAGCATCAGAAATATCACCAGAAACAGAATATTTTTTCGTTTTACGTAGTATATTTGCATATGATCGAATGGGATGTCCATTATTAGCTCTTCATTTAGTTAGAACTTGGAAATTTACTCCAGAATCAATGATCAAAAATCCTCGTCATATATTAAAATCTCGTAGAAGAACCACCGTATTTGATATACCTATATTAAATAATGATAGTAGAATATCAAGTGGATTTATAAATTTTGATAATTGGAGTTGGAATAATAATAATAATAATAATAATAATAATAATAATAATAATAATAATAATAATGATAATAATGATAATAATAATAATAATAACAACAATAATAATGATGATGATGATGATGATAATGAATTAATTTCTACACCAATTTCTACTACTAAATTTGATTTCCCAAAAAATTATAATCATGGTGAAAATTATAATTATAGTAATTCACCTATTGCATCACCTACATCACCTATTAATGAAGATATTATTTGGGGGAAAAGGGATAATGAAAAAGGTGAATATCATGAAAACGGTAATATGGAAAATACTTCATTATTAGATGATATATATTTTAATGATTATAAAGTTGCATTAATTAAACGTTTATTACAGGTAAATAAAAATTTATTATTTCTTTTATATTATTTTTTATTTATAATCTTTTTTATTTATATACATTTTATTATTATTATTATTTTATTTTATTTTATTTTTTCCCCCACTAGCAATTTCTGGATGCGATAACAATAATTTCTGAAGATAAAGAATTATTTGAAAATAGTTCATATTTTAGTGATTATATCAACAGAATTGAACACGGATTGAAAATTGTTTGTCGAAGTGATAAAGTTTCATTATCAGATATACAAAAATCAATTATCTCATATCCTTTTAATTATTCTCAATATATAGTAGAAATTATTTATTATATAATTTATATTATCTTTAACGATAATATTCTTAATATTTTTGATATTTACAAGGTGTTTAGAAACAGATTCGTTCGAACTATTAAAATATTTTCAATCTCATCGACTTGATTAATAATTGAGATTGATCATATGTAATCATAATGACGTATAATGTTAAATTAATTAATTAACATAAATATAAGTAAACTATATGTACAGTACAAATAAGCAGTATATATTTATCCCTTAAATGGTAGTGACGTCTCAAGTTACTTATAAATGCCCGAAATTCACATGATTTACCGTTTAAGGGATATACACACACACATACATATATACGCATTATTTTGAAGAAAATCGTTTTCGGCATTACGTAATCATAACTATTCATCGAATCATAATTAATCATTGATTGTTATCATAATATATCATAATATACATATTAATAAAATTTATATTTTAATTGTATTTTTATTCTAAATCTGAAACTAATGTAATTCTATGCAAATAAATGTTATAAATGTTATAGTATGGCATTTATTAATATAATAAGTTAATGTTAATGTCGTCTTCTATTTTTATAATTTTTATAATTTTTATATCACAAAAATTTCTCATTGTAAATTTGTAAATTAATAATATATAAATAAATTAATTAAAATAACTAGTTATAAATAGTATAAATAAATATGTGAAATAATACTTTAATATTTCACAAAAATGCAATTTATATTCTCAGGCATATATTGGTGTTTATTATTATTCAAACAATCAATTTCCATATTTAAGATATCAATAGAAAGTAATAAAAAGTAATTGAGTAGTTACATAGGTCATGCGACCGAAAAAAATAACAAAATAATAAATCCAAAAAAAAAAAAAATAAAATTATTTTATGATAAAGATGATCTGGTCTGAGCGATGAAATAAATTAAAAAATAAATTTTAAATTCATTAAAATTCAATAGATTTAATAAATTTTAATAATTTTAAATTTTAAATAAATTTTTGTGGGGTAAACTTTAATTCCCACACACACATATCATTGTTGGGTTGACGCATCAGATTTACGATATCTTTGACTCTCACCTTGACTCTCTATTATCTCTACCATCTTCTTCTCTTCCATATCTTACATCCTCTCCCTTCTTCACTTCCTTTGAACAATCAGCACAATGAATAATTATATTTCTATTTTTGGTCTATTTTGGACTATTTTTGTGAATGGTTCTTTATTTATTTAATGATTAATTAAAAATGATCATTAAATGAACACTCAGCAGATCTCATCAAATTATCCAAAATAATTTTCACACTTATCTGCATCAAACGCATCAAACGCATCAAACACATCATCATAAACGATCATCATAATGGTAAGTGGATAGGTAAACTTAATTGACATCACGCCAAAATGATTTTCTCAACTTTTTACTTTTTTTTATTCTAATTGGTTTCATGGAACTAATGGAAACTAACAAATGTACAATAAAAAAATGTACAAAAGTGGTCTAATACAATAAAACCTTTTTCTTTTCTTAAAATAAAAAATATGCATCAAATTTTTATGATTTACATTGAAATTTAATAAATTTAGAATAAAGTGCATTTATATAAATGCTATTCTTTTATTAATGTATTATTATTTTATATTATTCCTTATTAATATTATATTTGTATTATATTCTTTATATTCTTTTTTTATATTCTTTTAGTATTCTTCTTTCGAGAAAGAAAACATAACTGCATAAAAATAATTCTATTATTATCATTATCATTTTTTGGGTATTTTCTATTATATCACGGTAATTATCCACTGTATAACCGATATTATTTCCGATCAACATTTTTAGTACACTTTATTAATCAACAAATTTTATCAAGATAATCTTTGATATCTTAAATCTTAGATTGAATTTTATAAATTTTTTACCCTTATTACAGTTAATTATAAATAAAACTTAAAATAATAATAACTTATGTATATATATTAATTACATCTATGTATTCATTATTAGTATTCATTTTATATATAATAATAATAGATGATTTGAATTCCTAGAATTTTAGAGAGATGATTTTCAAATTTAACTTTCTCTCTCTTCAATTATTACTATATTATTATTATAATCTGTGTATAAATTGGTATATTATTGGTATACAATAAATTGGTATAATTGAGAGATATATTATTATTGATATATTATTGAATATATTACTGATATATTATTGATATATTATTGGTATATTATTAGTATATTATTGGTATAATATTGAGTGGACTAGTGTACAATCTAACAAATATATATGAAAAAAATATAAAATATATGAAAAATATATATATATATATATATATAAATAAATAATAAAAATAAAAAAAAAGGGATAATAAAATTAATTTCTAAAATATTTTATTTTAACAAATAATTATTGTGGCAAAAAAAAAAAAAAAAGAAATTCCATTTCTGATATATTTTTTTTCTACTTTTCACAGCATCATCACGATAATACCACCAGCCTGTTGTAATGATCTTTTGTTTCAATCTGATTGTTAATGTTGATAATAAATATATGTATATATAAAAGAATTCGGCAATACAGATAATATAAATGAAGAATAATGAGGTACATAAAGAAAATATTTAAATTTGTTTATGGGAAATTATATATATATATATATATATATTTATATCGGTTAACCAAAGAAGAACGATTGAAAAAAATGATTGATGATGAAAATAATAAAATTTATCTAATATTTTTTTTTCTCTTCCCAATAAAGTCCATAAAAATAGAAAATAGTCTTGTGACAAGCTACTAATTATTATAATTTGGGTTGAAAAAAAAAGTGAAGTAATAGTAATAAGGAAGGAAGGGAAAAGCTGGTTTAAAGTAAGTAAAGTGAATAATTGTGAGTAATTGTAAAGTAGTTATAAGTAATCATGAATTATCTGTTGTGAATTAATTGAATTAATCTATCGTGAATTTTATATATATATATATATATCATTCGTGAATTTATATATCATTCACGAATCATTCATTATGATTCTAATGCCATTTTCAAAATTTCACATCGTCTCTCTAAAACTTTTAGTACTTCTTCCACTTGTTTTTTAGACATTTGATCAACTAAAGTTTTAAATTTTGTTTCATCACTATCATCAAATGATTGATGTATATAACCAGGAATTGCTGAATTTGGATTATGTTCATCCATCATTTCATCATGATGATGATGTTGTTGTAATTGTTGAAGTTGACGACGTTGTTCTTCTAATAACATTTGTTCTCTTTGACATGTAGCTGCCGTAGCTAAAGTTAAAAGTGCTGGTGCCATAAGACTAGGTGACATAGTCATAGGTGCTATAGGTCTTTGATTTGGAAGAATCGTATGTAATGTTATAGGTCCTTTGGGTGAATAATTTGTTCCTGAATATGATGATGAAGTTTCTGTACTTTCTTCATTAGAATGTCCTTCTTCAATATGTCCATATTTATTCCAATCACGACGTCTACGTTGAATTTTAGATTTACGCATAGCGATCGGTCGATCTCTATTATGTAATTTAGCATATAATCCACATGCGTTACAAAGTGGTTGTCCTTTATCATTCTTTCTCCATAAAGGTGTTTGGGTTTGACCACAATTAGCACATTGAATTTGTATATCTGCCATAGCTGCAATTGTTGTTGGTGTTATCGTCGTCGTCGTCGTCGTTGTTGTTGTATTATTATTATGAGTTCCGGTTGTATTATGTGTCCCGGTTGTCATTGAAGATGATAATCCCGTTGTATATGTTCCAGTCGTCCCAACTGTCGTCGTCGTCGATGATGAATTTGGTGGTGGCGGTAATGTTGCAGGTGATATAATAGGTGATGGTATAGGTGTGGTCGTTTGTAGTACGGGAGGAGATAAAGAAATTAAGTTTGATGAAAGTTCATTATTATTATTATTATTATTATTATTATTATTATTATTATTATTATCATTATTATTATTATTATTATTATTATTATTATTATTATTATTATTGTTATTATTATTATTATTATTATTAACATTATTATTGTTATTGTTATTATTATTATTGTTATTGTTATTATTATTATTATTATTATTATGTAACGCGGAATATGAAGGTGTAGAAGGTGTAAATGTTGATGTTTCTGATTGAATTGTGGCTTCAAGAGTTGCTTCTTCTCCATTAGATTCAAGTCCCATTGGATGGTCTGATGATATGTCAGAATATTCTTCCATAATAACATCAGTTTCTTCATCTCCTTCTTCTACTACTTCATCTCCTTCTTCTTCTTCTTCTCCTCTAGTAGCAGGTAAAATATAAGGATAAGATTTGGCTGATGATGTTCTCGTTTTATGTATAATGTGTAATGGTCGATGTACATGATATTGTTTAAAATATAAACCGCAAGCATTACATAATGAATGCATTCTATCTGGTGTTCTACGCCAGAGCGGTGTATTTTTTATACCACAATTAAAACATTGAAGTTGTCGAGGAGGTTTAGAACCTACTCTTTTTGACTCCCTATGATTTGTAGCTCTAGAACCACTATCAATAGATTGTGTCCTTCCTGTTTGAGCTGAAACCAGTGCAGAAACAGCTGATTGAAGAGCTGACAAATTACTTTCATATTCTTTTGGTGTTGGTGGAGTATTCGAAATTGGTGAAGTTTGCGATGACATTGTTTCGGTAGAAGCGGAAGAGTCGGCAGAGTTACGACGAGACGATGTAACTTTGCATAAAAAAAAAAAAAGTAATAAAAGCATCTAGTGTTAGATTATAATTTTTATTAAAAATAAATAAAAAAAAATAAATTTATTTATAACTTTTAGAAATAATACTTACTGCTTTTAAAAAGTTCCATATTTTTTTTATTTTATTTAAGCTTTTATGATGAAATAGAAGCTAACATCTCGTTATTAAAGAAGTCATAACTTTTACAGAACAGATAATGATGTTTAAAACCAAACAAAAAAATCATTTAATAAACTAGCATAAATAACTTACCAGACTCCTTACCAGCAGCAGTTGTAATATTAGATATATAGGATTATTGTTCTTTTAAAGTTGAACTGTTATAGATAGCGAAAGGAAGTTTATAAATTAATTTTTATCTAAAATTCTTGGTTTCGAAAAAGGTAGACAAGGACATTGTTAAGAGAAAACGAACCACAGATTTGTATACTGCTTGGAGTTGATCGTATGGTTCCATCAGATCATTGTTTCCACAAAATCTCTTTGTACACTACCCAATAATCATATACGTCATCGAATCATGTAAATTTTCGATTTTAATAACCAATCAAAATTTATTAATCTATCCGCAGATGTATATAATCAATTATCAAATTTATCGATAAAAAAATATATGTATATGTATATTATGTATTATATATATATATGTATAAGAAGATATATGAGATATAAGATATATAAGAAAGTCGGTTGATCACAATAAAAGAACTCCGTAAACATTAAATTTATTAAATTTTCAAATTTATATCACATTGATATCATCTTATTTTAGTCTATTCAATTATTGGATTGATTCATCCAGATAAAATTTAAAATTTTTTATTTGGATGAATTAAATTTTACCTGGTGATAATTACGAATTACGAAATATATATATAATAATAATATATGTGTAATTTAATGTATAATAATAATAATGTAATTTTCTTTTGAAAAACTATAAATAATAAAAATGCTAATCAGGAAATTTTTATGAAACCCAGCCACATTTCTCAAACATTTCATTTCATTTTGTATATCATTATAATTATGATTATTATGTTGTATATCATCACTAAAAAGTAATTAAAATAATCATCTGATTTATCATATGATAAAAATGAGACAAAAAAAAATCTAAATCTAAATTAAGCAATAAATAAATTGTCAATAAATAAAATTTTAATTTTGAGCAATTTTGAGTAATTTATTATACAACATTTTAACTGATTATTTTTTTGATTTTTTTTTTCTTTTTAAAGAAGAACCTTCTACACGCACATTATGGTATATAAAGAGGTAAAGGTAAAGAAAAGATATAAAGTGGTATAATAAAAAAATTTTTTATACTTAACATTATCGTTCATTATCGTTCTTTAAACAAATAAAATAAAATAAAATAAAATAAAAATATATATATGTGTGTGTATATGTATAAAATTAAATGAAATTCTTACAAATAAAGAGCCAGCCCGATCTTTTTTCCCAAATATACAATTACTTAATTATCACCAAATGATTATTATTATTTAAACAATACGAATAACATTATTTGTAGTAAGCCATTTTTCTAAGAAAGTTTTAAGATCTCGACTTTCTCCATTATTCCTGACAGATGATGATGATTCCCCTCCACCATTATTATTAACAATATTATTACTAATATTATTATTACCAATATTATTACTACCATTATTACCACTGAGAATATTTTCTGTTACGGAAGGTCTAAAGTTAACATTTAAATTAATAAATTTAAACATTACTAATGTATCATTACGATCAGGATTTAATAATTCTTGATCAAATCTAAATTACAGAAAAAAAAAATAAAAATAATAATAAAAATAATAATTAAAATTAAACGTCAATATCGTTAATAATTATTATTATTATTGTTGTTGTTGTTGTTGTTATATTGTTGTTATTTTTAAATAATAAAAATAAATAATAAATAAATAATAAAAAATAAGAAATAAGAAATGAATTACCCCGAAAGATATTGACCCACGCGTGCCTGTAATGCTAAAATAGGGAATCCTGTTGCTAAATCTCTCTCATTTTCAAATGCAATAAAATCAATACTTTCTTTCCAAATATCAACTTCCGTTTTTTCATATCCATCTTTGGTTAATTTAACTTTTAAATAATTTTCAAAAACTTCAGCTGAACAATTTGGTTGGGAAAAATATGTACTTCCTCCTCCAGTACCAAATAATATCGAATTCAATTTTAAATTAATTGGATATCCTCCTACTCCTATTCCTTGTGACGTTATAGATGTGGTACGTGATGATGTTGGAATTAATGTCGTTGGTACTACAGTAACTTGTGGTGTTGGTAATCCTGATGGTGGAATCACCGAAGGTGAACGTAAAGGACTTGTTACATTGTCTGGAGATTCAGCGTCTAAAATAAATTATGATATTTTTATTTATATTTTAAATTATGATATAAATTGCTTAATATCACCAGTTGTGATTGTCACTACTGGGCAAATTTAGGATCAGGGAATTATGTAATTTTACCTGGTGTTGACGATCACTACTGGTGAGATTTAGCAAATTATTTAATAGATTGTACAAGAGAAAACATAACTTTTTACCTGGTGACGCCGCAAATTCACCTAGAACAGTGGATGTAATCGCTGGTTACAAAAAAAAAAGGTGAACGAATAGGTTAATTTCAACTATCAAAAAATTAAAAAATTAATAATATATAAAAAATAGAAAAAAATAAAATTTCTTTTATTAACGATTTCTTTTTTTTTCAGTGTCAAAGACATTATTAAACATTAACCTTTCTTTGTAGATGCTCTTTTGCCTAACCCAATCCTTTGTGAACCACTGTTTGTAAATCCCCCCCCTGAAGTTTCTGAGACCTTTTCACGACCATCATCATTACCAATGTATGTTAACGCACCCGCACCTTCACTCATTGAAAGTGATCTACCTGACTTCTTTTTAGATTTTGCTGAAGGTACTGCTGATAACGAATATTTTCGGGATTTAGAACTCGATGCTGCATTATTTGCGTCTCCCTCCGCAGTTCGACTAGCATTTGGTCCCTGTAAAATCTTTCCTTGTTTCCATTTTACTCCGCAAGCATTGCACAAAGTTCCTATATTGTAAAATTCAAAATATAAAGTGAGTAAAATCACGGTGGTATAATTTACTATTTTTTTTTACATACCAGCTCCGTCAGGTCCTCTTCTCCACATAGGTGTAGTTTTACAAAAACAGTAAGCACACCTTTTATTGCCTCCACTTGAGGCTGAAGTAGATGATGCTGCTAGATTAGGTACAGATTTTGATTTTTTTGGTGCGCTAGAAGTCGATGCCCTTGACGTCGTTCTGCCACCTATGATATTTCAAATATATATATTTTTTTTAATTACGTTCTTAATATTTTTGTTAAAAAAAGAAATAAAAAGAAATGTAAAGAATTATAATAATGTACTTATGTACCTTCAGTATTTTTTGATGTTGATTTTATTTTTTTAGTAGCTCTTCCTTCGGACTGAAATTTTTTAAGATAAATAAAAGATAAACATTAAGTAATTATTAAAGTAAAATGTTAAGGTGTAAATGTTAATTTTGACGGATAAAAAATAATGTCTTTTCTTACAATTTCAGGAACTTCCGTATCTATATCTTTACCATCTTTAATATCCTTGCTGCGGGTCTCAATGACTACTTCCACTTCTACATCCTTTTCTTTATCTTCTTTTTTACGTTTTTTTTCTTTTGGCGATGTTATCGTATCAATAATTAATGTTCCATCTAATTTGGATACTTTTTGTCCGATTGCCTAAATAATGAAAATTCATAATAAATAATTTGTTAAATATTTAAAAATTTAATAAAATTTCATTCCAAATATATTACCTCCAATAATTCTTCCGGGTAATCACAGGGTAAACAATGTTGTAAATATACACGAGGGGGTTTGGTATTCATCTAAAAAATAATCGAAAAACTAATCAATTATAAATATTATAAATATTATAAATGAAAACGTAAAGTTTAGTCCATATTTTTTTTTTTTAAAAAAAAAAAGAAATTTTTATAACCTTTGTTGCCATTGATTGAATTACAGATGCTACATCATTAGTAGCTTTTTGTAATGCATCCCATGTCGCTTGTGTCAAATTTGTAAGATGCATAGTAACAGGTTGATGGATTTGTTTACCACTCGTTGGTTCATCATTTTGGGGAAGATAAAAAGAAGCTAAAACCTAAATGAATAAATTTTCAAATTAAATTTGTATCAAAAATATTAAAAAAAAAAAATTGGTGGTGTATAAAGTAAGATTAACTTACATCATAAGGTTCTGACATTGACAAAGCTTCCAGAATCGTTTCTTTCGGGAATAACCATTTATCATTTTTATTTTCTTTAAATTCCAGTAAAACCTCATATCTAACTATTTGTCTACTTCTCGAAACTTGGGATTGCGATCGTGAATGAATTTGTTGTAATTGGAGTAGTTGCTGTTGTTGTTGTGATTGTTGCGTTTGCTGTTGAACCAATTGTGATGTTGTCAACAATTGATGAATAGTAGAAAGTTGACTTATCAATGCATTCTTTTGTTCCTGAGTCATATGAGTTGCCGCCTGTGGTTGTCTTAAATGTTCTTGAATAGCCAAGATTTGAGTTGGATTAACAGTCTGAAGTACTGTTTGCATTAATGCTGTGAGTTGAGAATTAGCAGGTAAAGCGGGTAAATTTGGTGATGGTATAGTCCTTGGTCCGTTTTGAACATTTCCATTAGTAGATAATGATGTATTAGTGGGCATTAAAGCATTTATACTTTGAACATTTATGTTTGATGAAAGTGATGCAGTAGAGAAAGGTGTAAAAGAAGGAATAGAAGAAGGAATACTCGAATTTGATGAAGTTGGAGTAGTAGAAGATGAAATAGATGATGAAATGATTGAATTGGATAAAATTGGAACTGTAGAAGACGGAATAATTGAATTGGGAGGAGTTGAACGAGTAGGTATCCTGGGTATTACTACTCGTGGTTGAATCGGTACTTGCAATTGAGGTGACTGAGATAGTGGTCGCGGTTGTATTGCCGGTTGTATTGGTCGTGATGTTGCTGAATATGAATTTGTCTTAGTTGGTAAAGTCTGTGAATTGGATAATGAGGGTGTTGCTACTATAGATTGCGTGTTGTTAAGTTGTACATATGGATGTGAAGTTGTTTGAATTAACGTTGGAAATTGAGAGTTTGTCTGGCTTTGTGAACTTCCACTTTGAAATTCTATATTCTTTGCATCTTTTTCATATACAGCTTCATAGATCTTGGTGTCATAAAAAGTATGGGGCCCTATGGTTATATGGCATTTTCCCAGGAGTGAAACGTTCGCAACTTGACATGTATTTTCAGGTAAAGCAGGGTGATAAACAACATCTTGCTTGCTAGAAAACTTCTTCAAAATTGAACTTGTCCAAGCTTGTCGAGATTGGGTTAAAGAAAGAAGGAGAATTCCACTAAAATATAAGGAAAAAAGACGATAATAAATGTTTCTGTCAGTGAAATCAACGAAATCAGTGAAAATATATAATGCTTCGATCTCACCTTTCTCTGTAATTATGCATTGTCGCCATTTCTTTTTCGGTCTGGGGGCGGGTAGCACTGGGAAGTGACAAACTTTTTAATGACTCGGCTCTTTTCCTACTCATTTTATATCCAAAATCCAATGCGAGAAACCTAATGTTTACGATTGAGGGTTGGATCTAGAAAACAATTTATAAATTTTGTGGCTTTAGTGGTTCTAAATTCACATGACTTTTCCAATAATTTTTTTCTTTACTGGTGATGATCACCAGTGTCAACGTCACAAAAGTTTCGTTTTTGACTCCAAGGGTTGAACTAAATCTTTTCCAGTCACGTAAATGATTTCTATCAAAAGAGACTTTCCAATAGTTGGTCAACCTAAGAACGGCACTATTTATTTATAAAAAGTATATATCTTTGTTTTTAGTTAACATAGTGTGAAGTTAGTTTTATTAAAAAACTTTGGTTAATACTATAATCTCAGTTAAAATTTTAAATAGTCTATTTGTTACAATTTTACTACTAAATTGAAACTGAACCAAAATTCAATTTAATAATTATTCAAAACAAAATTGAATCAAAATTTCAGTTTGAATTTGATTTAAAACTAAATAATAATTATTCAAAACTAAACTGAACCAAACTTATATAGATCAAATATAAAAGAATTGTTATACCAAAAAGAAATTTCAATTTTAGCTGATTTATAATACAGGATGCAATAGGACAGTCAATTTTTACTGATTTTTTAGCTAATCTATAATATAAGAATTACAATTTGATACAGTGATTCTTTTTGTATTTGACTAGTGCTAATTTTTAAAGCTCTCAATGTTTTAATTTAATTTGATTTAACAGTAAAACTGAAATCAAAAACTGAATACTCAAAACAAAATCAAACTGAATTAAACTAAACTGAACTAATTATTTTTGATTATTATCAATAAGCTTCAATACCTTTATAATTTTATTTATTGTCATTTAGTTAAATTTTATATTGAATATTTTATTTATTAATAAAAAATAAATACAAATTAATTAAAACTATATTGATCAAATGATTAAAAATCAGTGATAATTTGTGTTATAAAATTAGTTAAAATTAGTTGTTTAATTTGTAAATTGTCTAAAAATTAACTGTTTAATTTACTACTATAGAAGAAACAAATCAAATCTTATATAATGTAATGGAAAAATTCAAAGGTTATATATATAAACATATTTGAATCATAAGATATAATGATATTAAAAAATGGGAACGTGACAATGATATTAAAAACAAAATAAAGAAGAAGGTTGGTCCTCCTGTGGTAATCAATTTAGTAATTAGTTTAACAATTACTGATTCGAAAAATAATAATAGAATTCATAGAGACAAAAGAATTCTTAAAAATATTTATTTTAATATAGTAAAAAAAATTTTATTTCAATTTATTCAAAATAATATTAAATGAACAGGGTTATATAAAATAGGTTGTTCAGCAGGACCTTAACATGCCAAAGATAGCTGTTGCTGTTAGGTAATAGGTTACAGACATGTCTCTTTACATATGTCAAAATTTAAATATCAGGTATTTATCAAATACCCAATATATTTATAATATCGAATACTTATTAGATATCTATTGAGAAAGAATAAACATATCAGGTATCTAATACAATTGATTATTACTAAGTATCCGATAATTAATTTTGTAAATTTTATCATGTGTCTGATATAATAGTAATAGGTGTAAAATAATTTTTATTATTATCTCAGGTCCTCAATATTGTCTTAAATATTAGGTACATGATATTAAATAGTAATATCAAGTAGATGGTATTCTAATTATTTTATTTGGGTACATAATATTATTATATGCTCATTGTATTAGATAATCTCTTTATTATTATTAAATAAAATAAATTAACATTAAATCTTCTATTCAATGAAATTATTAAAATATAATTTTTTTTATTCTTATTTCTACCTGATAATTTATCTTAATGGCTCAACCATATATTCTATGTACTGCAATAATCAAATCTATACCTTTCTTATAGTATTCTTCTCTCTATAACTTTGTATTTGATATTTTGGGTATCATAAATTTATACTTAAATCGAATATTAGAAGAAGACATATTTTTGTACCATTTGATATAAGCTAAAAGATGTGCTCTTAATCCATTCAGAAGGGTAAGTGTATATTCAAAGTAATATTGTATCTCTTCAGGATAAATATCACTTGTTCTATCTTTAAAGACCTTCCATTTTATTAAGATTACTGTATTATTTTCATATCGGCTTACAATTTTGAATTCAAATATTTCATTCCCTATTATTAACCTTACATATTGATTCATAATTACTTCCATATATACCTTCACATCTTTTTTTTTTAGATTTTATAATATTGTATACCATCTACATAATCTTTTTTGAATTTCTACTGGAATACTTACCTTTTTATATATAGGTACTAACATATATCCTAGTATATATTCAATGCCATAGATCTTATTGGATGTATCTTATCTCAGGAGGATGAAATACTGTAACTCTTCTCTATCAAATCAATTAGTTATAGCTAAGCTACCAGCAGCTTTCTTTGATACAAGAAATTGAAGAAACTTCTTCAAGAGACCAGATGTCTATTGATAAAAAAGATGATAATTTACAAGTAAATTTTTAAAGACTATTTTCATAAGTTCAGATTTGATCTTCTAATTACTATTAGAATAAGAACCCATGAAAGATTTGTATTAAAATTTTATTTACTATAATTCATATATCTAATATAACCAAAAGCTATAAATGGAGTTATAATCATGTATGTATTCAAGAATATGCATTGATAAATGAATATTACTTGTAATGAATTTAGGTTCATAAGTTCTTTCTATATTTATAGACATATCCTTTAATCATTCTTGTGTTTTTTGTAAATCATCTTCTGTAACAAATCTAGTAACTAATAAGTTACATGCCCAAACAAAATATTCTAAATCTTTCTATCATTATCATCTAATATGTCTCATAGAATTGTCGTTGCATAAATCATAATGAAGGCCTTCTATTGATTAGCAGTAAGCTTTAAAAATCCTTCTCCAATAGTGATTTTTGGAAAGATTCAACTAATATCAGATAGAAGTTGAATATTATCTATTATACTTTGTGCTATACGAAGTTACTCAGAATTTAATTTATTCTCTTTAATAAATATGGATTGAATAATTTATTTTGCAATCTCAAGGAATAAGCAGTGCATGGGATTCATTATTGTAAATCTAATTGGATCCATATAAGGAAGACAAAATAATTCAGACCATCATATTTTGTGCTCTTTGAAATGAGCTTCCTTTGTTCCTCTGATAGTACATCTAAACCATTCTTGAATATATTATTTATGTTCTTGGAGGTCCACAAATTCTCTAATCCATTATTCATAATTTTCCATGTCACCATAATAAGTTTTTTAAAATTTCTCACTATATCAACTTCTTTTTAAATACCTGTGACATTTCATTATTGCAGATCTGTGTTCAAATAACTTTCTTGTAACTGGAATATCAAAAAAATTTATAATTATTGCAACTCTTATATCAAGTCCATCCTTATTTTCATATGTTTTGGGAACTCACCATCCTTTCCATAATTCCTTAAAGTCATCAACTATCGGTGATAAATAATGATTAATTTAATTCTTATTGACTTTCTTAGGTTTTGGAAGAAAAGCTCAAATAAATTATATTTTTGTACTTATTTCTTTTGACCCTAAGGAGATTGTATATTAAAGTATAAATAGCACCAGTACTATATTGTATATATTTGAAAGGTTAGAACCAGTCTAAATTTATTAATAATCTTAAATTTGAGATAATAATTTCTGAACTAAAAAATTTGCTACTATTGAAAAGAAATGAATTTCAAACTCTCCTATCACATATATCAGCATAGATATTGCTATCATAATTTCTTACATCCGGCATTCTTTCAAAACCTAATCTCCAGTACATGATATTTAATTATTATTTAATTGAAGGTTTAGGATATAACATTCAGGAAATAACTATTATATTTTTCATATTTCTTTTAAGAGAGGAGAGTTCATTATCATATAAATTCTTATGGAAAAATACAGGATTATTAAGATATTCTTCATAATTATAATGCATAATTGTTAACTTATTACTTTTTTTATGATTATATACATCTTAGAATCATATAATTTATGACAGTTTGTACAAACTGCCATCTTTAATTTTGGTTAAAAAATTCTTAACTTCTTTTTTGCTATAAATAAAGAAGTAATAAATTCACAAAACTTATAATCATCGATCATAATAAGCATATTATTTAAAAATTTAATTAAGGCTTTCAGGGCTATATCAAATATCCAATACTTTTGTTGAAACTTAAATAACCACAAAAATATCTCTACATCTAATTTATCTTCTAATTCTGTTCCTTCATAGCCTTCGCTATCACTTTTCAACTCAGATACAGTAAATAAGTTATTATCATCTTCAGGTGCTTCATTATCTGTGTCCATATACTCTACTTGATCATCGTTATCTTCTTCTTGGTCATCAATCAATTCATTATCATCACGTTATTCTTCTAAGTCATCAATTAATTCATAATTTTCTTCATTTCCAGTATGACGATAAACTGTACGGTACGAAAAGCTATTTTGTACTGTACGATTTTACATAAATTTTGTACAAAAA